AAGAAGAAGAAGAAGAAGAAGAAGAAGAAGAAGAAGAAGAAGAAGAAGAAGAATTCTTTAGTACCCAATACACTACCATACTATACAGCTCTAAGCCCTTTACAATACATTTCTCGTAACTCAAAATACATGTGCATGAAGGTACATACACACTTAATTTATAGACCGATACTCTGACTTTTATGACTTCTTGGCTGGCCCGCTGCCAAAATGTACATGTTCAATAAATGCTGTTTCTCTTCTCAGGGACATTTTCCTGAATACCATGTTCCGATTCCTCCCTGTCGTTCTGGTGTGCTGCAATACGATAGCCATTATCGTCAGGCTCAAGGTAGGGCTTCTTATTTAATTAAGGTATCATTATCATGATTTCTAAGAAATGAAGGGACAGATGTTGCGTTTCCTCCTTTTTAATGAAGTAAAAGAAGGGGAAATAACTCTAGTGTGCCATGTGTCTTTATTTCTGGTATAACTTATTTCCACTTTGTCCCATTTTATCTATTTATAATAAAACAATTTATTATTATTACTTTTTATTTTACATTGATTGATGGCCAGTTTGACTGTTTTATTTCCATATCTATTTTGGGTTTGTTTGGTTCCTAAAATATCTGATGTTAAAACATTGGCAATGTTATGGGCGGGTTATAGACCCTAAATACACATGTATTGATTGTTTCTGGTGGGTGAAGGAAAGGGGAGGAGGTCGTCTTGGAAGGTTCTATTATATAATATATTCCTTCCTCACTAGGCACTGTAGGGAGTGTTATGGGTCTGTGCTTTTTCAATAAGCTGTAGAATCTAACCAGATGAAAAAAAACGACATGTTTAGAGAGACTTGATAAATGAAGTTCTTAAAACGAATCAAATACAGCAGACAACTCTTCTGTAACGGCCTCCTGTCCAGGATAATCGCTGGTATAAATGACCACTTCCTACTTCAATCTTTTCAACATCATTTTTTGTTGTTGCTAGTTTTTGTTTGTTATTTTCTGTTTTTCCTATGTTATAACTGCACTGAACGGGTTAAACATCATGGCAATGTGGGATTTATCAATTCACCCGAGCAGAGAAATGAATGGAGAACCATAAGTCTGTTCTGTTTCACACCTGGCACTTTATCATGATGAGAATATCAACATTCTTCAAGACATCCACTTGTCCAAGATAATCACTTTTCTGCTCGACAATTCGAGGCCGTCTTGATTGGACTATTCCTATTGTATTTAGAGACACATGACACGTAGAAGTCCTCAAAATCAATCTACCATTGGGTTCCCATCCGCCCAAATCTCATTTCCAGTTCCCATCTACTCAAATTTCACACCCGTTTCCCATCCACACAAATCCCCCCCCCCCCCTCCCCCCGGTTCCCATCCACAAATATCTCAGACTCGGTTCTCACCCACACAATTCTCACACCCGGTTCACCATCTACAGTCGAACCTGTGTAAGACGGAATCGCAAGGGAGCCAGAAAAAAATTCCGTCTTAGCCATAATTTTCTGTCTTAGACGGGGGAATTTAGGGGGGGTGTGTAGGTGGGGGGGATGGTGGAGGTTTGGGGGGTAGGGGGGGGGTCAAAGGCCCAGCCGATGGGATCGAGGATGGCTTGTCCGATCAGCAAGCAGTGGTCAAAATTTCACACCTCTCAATTGCTATCCCGTCTGATAATGACATGCGCCAGTCTTACTTATCCAATTACCACCAGTGTTTGCCTTTCTTACGACCACTGTTTGGCCTATTAAAAACAGAAACGCTTTGGTTCCACCCTTAACCCCACCCACCAATGCCACCCCTCACTGCCATAATTGTAACAATGATTTGAGGAACTCTTTTCTCAGCTGGCCGTACGATCAGGGCGGCAGGCATTGGTCAATCTAAATTTCTAATTCACACCTCTGGGTTCTGGCTACCCAGGAAAGTTTCCGTTGTGGCTCTCTACTCCAGCACTCTCACGGGAAGTCGTGAGATTTCACACCCGCACTACACTGACCATCTGCATCGCTCAGGGCTCACATGAAGGGGTAACATCTACCCCCAAATTGCTCCCCTACTCCTGTTCCTCGCCCAGCGGCATAGCCATAGCGCAAGGAGTTTAGAACTAAGTTAAGTTTAGAGTCGGCGGAACCAAACTTGCAAGTTTTGTTTCAAATCAGGGTTGAGCGCGCAAAGCATTTTTCGTCTTAGACAGGTGAAACCCTCGGAAGGGAGCGGATTTTTCTTTCCTTTTCCGCATTGGACAGGTTTCCGTTTTATACAGGTTATTAAAGAGGAATATATCAAGGGGGAGCGGGGAGATTCCGTTAAGACAAGTTTCCGTTTTATACTGGTTTCCGTTAAGGCAGGTTCGACTGCACAAATCTCAGACCCGGTTCCCTTCCACAGAAAGCGAGTGCCTGGCGCGGCGACTCCTCAAGCCAGGCGGGACAGGCACGTGCAGCCAAGGAGAGGAAACTGACCACAATGTTGCTCACCATCTGTGGCATCTACCTCTTCTGTACATTGCCGGGGCTGGTGTTTCAGGTAAAACCTTCTTCTTACGTATCTATTCAGGTTTGTTTGGTTTTGTTTTGGTTTTGTTTTTATTTTTGTTTTTGTTCTTCTTATTTCAGTGTTTCCTAACTTTGAGCCATATTGCCTAGTAGTGGAAAAACGTGAGACTTCGGATAGGATACGAAGTCTCCCCACCCCCTGTACGAAGTCTTCCTACCTGGGGGTAGTGTAGGAAGCGTGTTCGTGAAACAGATATCATAAAAGTTTGGTTTGATTATATGAATTTGGCACGTAACAGACACCCTAAAGCATAATATGTAGATACAAACAAATTATGTAGTTTGGTGAAAGGATTAGTGCATTATTGCAACACGTAAACTTTACAAACAGAAGTTTGAAAACCTATGCACACCCTTCTCAAAAACACAATATCCTTCACAGCAGCTGATGCAATGTTCTAAGAAGAGTGAGGCTGCAAAAACATAGCAAGCTAAATCTCACAGGAGAAATTATGTAATCCAGGGACAAAATATGTATTCTCGATAGTTTAGCGAGAATTTACATGTCCGAGGCCTCCCCGTTCTCCCTTATTAATAATGATAAAAATAATAATAATAAAGATCATCATCATCATCATCATCATCATCATCATCATCATCATCATCATCATCTTCATCATCATCTTCATCATCATCATCAACATCATCATCATTATTATTACTATTATTATTATTATTATTATTATTATTATTATTATTATTATTATTATTATTATTATTATTATTATTATTAAAACTATATTTCGTCAGTGTGATTCACAAACCGGCTGGGGCTCTTGGGGCCTAGAGGTTAAGGTGTTGGCCTCTCATTCAGAGGTCCCGGGTTCGAATCCGGGTAGCGACCGAAACATTTTCTTCTCTAAAATTGTCTCCTTTCACTTCCTTTCCTGCTCTCTAGCAATGTTCTGTCGTCTGCTTTCATTTCCACTTTCTGCCCCCTCCCCCTCACCTCTTTTACCCCCCCCCCCACCTCCTCTTGGCTCCTGACTCTTTCTGCAGCCTTTCTACTGCTACTCCTTGGCTCCTTACTGCTGTCTTTCTGCCACACCCCTGGTCTTCTGGTAGGAAAGATCTACACCTAGCCTTCTCGGACAAGGGCTAAAAATCTCGGAGTTCCCGTGTGCAAGTTGCGCACGTTAAAGATCCCTTGGTGGCACAAAGGCAAATTCTACAGGAAGGACAAAGAACTGATTATTGGTTGTAATCTTACATACTTCTATACAAAAGGTTAAGTTATAAGTGTTGGGAGGAAATACTACTACTACGTGATTTTTCTTACAAAATATTAAATAAAACCCCAAACCAATCCATATCAAACAAAGCCGGAGGTTTCTTATTCAAGACTTTTTTTCAAGACCCCAAAGTCTTGTCTAAGAAACCTCCGGTTTTGTTTGATATCCCCCAAGAGCAGGGCCTCTGTATGGCACACGTTGGTTTCGGGGTTCTAATCTGGATCGAGGGTGGGGTGGGTTCAATTCTCAGCTGAATTATAATAAGATTTAAAATTTGGTCACTTAATTTAATGAACTAGCAGAATGCCGCCATAGTGGCGAGCACAAGACGTGAAGTGAAGTGACATCTTGTTGTGATCAATTATCAAATGTCTCGATTCGTTTATATAGTCGGTGTACTAACAATTATACTATATTATGGTTTTCTTCGAATATTTTCTATAAGTCATTTTGTTCATTTTGAAAAATGTGCTTTCTAAGGGCTTACGTAGGTTTGAAACATTTCTTAATATTTCGACATTAAAACGTTTTATTCGATTTCTCTTTCACTTAATAAAGCGCTTTTCTGTTTTTCTGTTTACTGTTGTTTAAAAAGACTTGTTAAGGTAATTGTTTCCCTTACTCGATCAGTTATTGCGTGTTGCTGTTACCTTCTTCATAAAAGAGGACTCCTCTAGTATATATATATATATATATATATATATATATATATATATATATATATATATATATATATATATATATATATATATATTGTGCCTGGGTGTCCTACCTTCAAAATCAGCTGTGCTTTGTTTCTTGTCTTAAACATTTTACAAGTGAGGTGATGCTGTGTTAAATTTTTTTTTAATGATCCGTTACTGAGACTCGTGGAGCAAGGGCTGGAGATGAAGGGAAATGACTGAGGAAATGCTTTTTGAGAGATTAGACTTTACAAAGATTTAAGGAGCCTGAAGCCTATATCCAAGTATTCGATTTATTATTACGTGGGAACCCTCCGTCTCTCCTGCCCATTCTCCGCTGCTTTCTCTCTCTGTCTTTCTCTCTCTGTCTTTCTCTCTCTGTCTTTCTCTTTCTGTCCACCTATCCCCCCGTCTCTCTCTCTCTCTCTCTCTCTCTCTCTCTCTCTCTCTCTCTCTCTCTCTCTCTCTCTCTCTCTCTCTCTCTCTCTCTCAGTCTCTCTCTGTGTGTGTGTGTGTGTGTGTGTGTGTGTGTCTGTCTGTCTGTCTGTCTGTCTCTCTCTCTCTCTCTCTCTCTCTCTCTCTCTCTCTCTCTCTCTCTCTCTCTTTCGCAGGAAGTGTGTGTGTGTTTGTGTGCGTGTGTATGTGTGAGTGTGTGTGTGTGTGTGTGTGTGTGTGTGTGTGTGTGTGTGTGTGTGTGTGTGTGTGTGTGTGTGTGTGCGCGCGTGTGTGTGAGAATGTGTGTTTGTCTCACTCAATCTCTGTCTCTCGGTAGTACATCTACCACCATCGGGTGTTTTCGTGGTCAGGAGGTTCGGTGTTCGCCTCTGATTCAATAGCACCCGGTTTCGAAACCTGGCAGCGACGGAAAATCTTCATCTCTAAATTTGTCTCCTTTCACCTCCTTTCCTCATCTAACCATGTTCTGTCGTCTGCCTACGTCTCCACTTTCTGCCCCCACCCGACCCCCTTTCCCCCCTCTTCTGGGCCCTTAACTGTTTCTGCAGCCTTTCTACTGCTACTCATTGGCACCTTCTTACTGCTGTCTTTCAGCCACACCCCTGGTCTTAGGGCAGGTAAGATCTAACAGCTTAATATGACATTACGCAGTTGCGAGCGCAGTTAGATCTAACACTTGCGAAAAAAAAGCAAAAATAAAAAAGCAGCAAAAGCAGCAAACAAAACACCAAAAAAAAAAAAACCGACAGAAAAAACAAATAAACAAACAAACAACCGAATAGAAACCCAAAACTAACAAACAAAAACAAACAAACAAAAAAAGACCCCCCCCCCCCACAATCGACCGTGTTGAGCTGGAGGTATGTGCGTTCTTGTTTTAGTGCTCGTGAGGGTCGAGCCTTTACCTCGGTAATTTCCCTTCATCTCCAGTCCTTGCTTCACCAGTCAGATTAACCTATCGTTAGGCCTTCATATTTTTTCACAATACCGTATCGCCTCTCAACTGACATGTGGGATGACTTACGGGACCAAGCATAGTTGATTTTGAAGGTAGAACACCCAGTCACAGAACCAGAGGACTCCTCATTCATGAAGTAGATTCAAATATAAGTATTTCATCAACAGCAACCCTTAATAAATTCTTGGGTAAGGGAGACAACGACGTAAAAGGTGTAACTAGTAACTAGTAACTATACAACAATAAACAGAACAACAGAAAAGCCGCTTTAAATAATGAAAAAACAAAACAAACAAGGAGTTTTTTCGAAATAAAGGGAATGTTGCGATTCTTTGTAAGCCTTAGGAAACATTTTTTCATTTTTATTTAGAAACAAAGAATATGTGAATTCAGTCTGAGCAAAACCATAGTATAATTTAAATGTCTGCACATTGACTATATAAACAAAATGGCGTTAGTTTATTGATGTGTTTGAAAGGTAAGCTGATCTCAGTCCACTTCACTTTGCCTCATATATATTCATGAAGGTGCAAAAACTGAAAATAAATTGTGGCCAACAAGATAGCAAGATGAATTTAATTAGATCTAGATGTCACGAAAAATATGTTGATCTAACAAGAAAGCTATCAAATAATTTCACGCTGTAAACTGTAAACTATAGAATTATGACAGGGCAATAGACTCATCGCATATTCATTGGTTAGGGGAAGTATCGAATATTGACTGAAATTTCTGAGCCGGTGATGAAGTACTCAGCTCAGTCATATCTCTGGCATTATAATACCAAAGCCGATTATTTAAAAAGATAACCTTATTGATGCGTGATATGTGAATAATAATTAAATGATGCCAGCCACTATGTATTATAAATCACAATTGAAATGTTTAATTTTGCGAGAGATCCATACACGTATCATTTCATGGTCACTGCGAAAGACAATTCCAAGAACAAAAAAGGATTTACGGTATCCAGATTGTCAACAATGAAACAGCATCAATAAAGTATGTAGCTCTAATATCAATGCTTTCTGTGATATTCATAGTATAAGTTTTGTATAGCTACAGTAGCTGCTGTTGCTAAAAACTGCCAGCGCAAGAACTATTTCTGCTGCTGCTATTACTACTTCTACTGCTGCTGCTAACTGCTATTATTATTACAGCTGCTCAGCTGCAGCTAACACTATGTCTGCTACAATATAATATTATTATCTTATTATTATTATTATTATCATTATTATTATTATTATTATTATTATTATTATTATTTTGATGATGATGATTATGATGATGCCCCCGCCAATTTCCCCCCGCCTCAAGGTGTTCACGTACATCACAGACGAGTTCTCCGTGTTTGGCCGCTATGCAGCGATGTACACTATGACCACCTCGCTCAGCATCCTGGCACAGTTCATCAACTCCAGCGTCAACTTCCTCGTCTACATGGCCATGAACGACCGCTTCGCCAAGACCTACGTCAAGGTTTTCTGCTGCAAGAAATGTCTCAGCAGGTGAGCCCACCACATAGATGTAGAGCCTACTCTATAGGTTTGGAAAGGAGATAACTCTATGGCCCACCATCGCACTCGCGAACACGTTTACATATGTACACGAGCGCACATGTAATCATGTATACGCACGCGAACACATGCACGTGGACGTGCGCGCACACGGAGACGAACACATGCACATGAATGTGCGTGCATGCACACACGTACGCACACATACACACACAAACACAAACTGTATAATATACATAGGTAGATAGATTTTTTGGGGGGAGGTTAAGTGTTTTACGGCGCTCGCACCTGCATAAGATCATATGAGCGCGTGGGACACACCAAACATTTTCAATTGGTAGGAAATTTTGAATTTTGTCCGGGTGGCGGCCGAAGCCTACTCTTATCGATTTTGGACCACCAAAGGGTCTTTAACGTGCGCAACTTGCACACGGGACCTCAGATATTTTCGCCCTTGTTCGAGAAGGCTATGTGTAGATCTTTCCTACCAGGAGATCAGGAGGTGTGGCTAAAAGACAGTAGTAAGGAGCCAAGGAATAGCTGTAGAAAGGCTGCAGAAAGAGTCCGGAGCCCAGTGGAGGGGGCAAAGGGGGCGATTGGGTTTTGGGAAGAAAGTGAAGACGAAAGCAGACGGCAGAATTTTGCAAGAGAGAAGGAAAGAAGGTGAAAGGAGACAATTAATTTTAGAGAATAACATTTTTCCGTCGCTACTCGGATTCGAACCTGAGACCTTTGAATCAGAGGCGAACACCCTAACCCCTAGGTCACGAGAGCCCCCATAGATAGTATATCGTACAGAGCTTGCTGTCATGAAGGTTTATGCGCTATACAAATGCTATTTATTATTTATGCATGCACTGTATGATATTATTATCTTTGCACTGCTTTCAGAACCACAGAAACAACAACGTTAACAAGATCATCATTATAGCAAATGTATAGTAATATGTTTAGTTAATACAATATACGTATAATATTTATTGGTTTGTTAATGGCTTGTCTAAGTGTAATATGTGGTTTGTTATTCATGCATATGGTACAATAATATGGTTTGTTAATGCATTGTTAATACATACATGTGATTGTAATATATTTGCTCTGCTCTCAGCACAATTGAAAAAGGCGGCGCGGCGAAGACCAAGGAATTGAAGACCGCCAGCACCAAACTGACCTCAGCTGGGGGCGTGTCCTCCACCGCAGACGGGAGCTCTGTCTCCAAGGACGCTGACCCAGCACAGGTCAAGGTCAAGGCTTGATGAAGCCCGCCGCGTCCTTGTTTGGGTTTGTGCGTTTGTTTGGTTGTATTGTTTTGTTTGTTTGATGAGGAGAAGTAGGTCGACACCATTGAGGTCATATTGTGAGAAAAGAGGCACCCCGGAAATAGCAGTTCACAAGAGAGTGACAAACATTCAAGAGAAGTAAAGGTAAAATGACGATAGTAAGGATGAGGAAAGAAAAAGCAGCATTTCCCTGTTGCAATTCCGCCACAGTTATGAGCATGGATTGATGAATCAGCCCTTTTACAATTTTACTGTGCAACTTTTACTGAGGCCTTTGGGAAAGGCCTAAAGACACTTCAGTCAGTAGCACAGCCATGGGGGGTTATACGGACTTTCGATGATGATGATGATGATGATGATGATGATGATGATGATGATGATGATGATGATGGTGATGGTGATGATGATGGTGATGTTAATGATGAGAAATCGAAAGAGAAGAACCGTGGAGGACTAGAGTAATAACACAACGCCTGATATCTTTACTGCAAGGCCAATACTCTGTACATCATGTATACTGTACTGTATAGGACTACAGCGCGTTCATGATTAAAACAATAAGTGGTCTGTTCCTTGATGGCTTGAGTTTTTTTTCTTTCTGTGTTTGTTTTTGTGTTTATTTTTGTTTTTGTTTTCATTTCCGAGTTTAGTTAATTAAGTTTTAGTAGAGGTTTTACGGCGTTCGCAACTGCATAAGGTCATATGAGTGCCAGAAGATTAGAGGTGTTACAAGAGAGTAACAAACATAACAAAAAAGAAGGGGAGATAAGGACGATATATGTTTGATAGGAAAGAAGAACAAACCACATCAGAGCACCCGCCAACCACCCATTTTCATTTCCAAGTAAAAGGAATTTAATTACAAAAATATAATACATGACGACTGTTGAGGGATTCAATCCCTGGCTCACCCGCTGGAGATCGTTAAAAGTTACTTGCGTACAAGTCCAAGAAAGTTTTTATTTTCTAGACAGGCTCCATTTTCAACGCCCGATTTTCGTGACTTCGGGGGATTTCCCTTTTCTCAATTAGAAGGACAACTTGATAGAGACTGGTTTACCTAAAACGCTGATATACTGATAAGATCTTTCGCAGTCTACACTCCCTCCTTTTCCCAAGGACACGACATGATACATCAGGCCCATAAACAGAAATATCCTACACGTCACCTACAAATGACATCTAGAGTATATATGTATGTGTATTTTATTTCTGGGATAATTCGGTTTTGGCCCAAAAAATTAGGCCTACTATTATTATACTTACTCTAACCCTGCCCATATACTCCTACTCTTCCGTTACTCGTAAGCCATAGCCATAGCTAAAACCGTAACCCACAAAGTCACTAACAATATTCCAGTTTCCTACTCTTGAGGCCAAAACTGGAGATTTTTGTCGATATAATTCTACAGGGTTATACAAGAATCTTGATCTCTTAAAACATACAAGTATTTTTAAAATGTAGATGTGTCTACAGCCTTATCGAAACAGTTTAGATAATTCATGAGGCGGGCATCCGACTCTGCCTATCAGGGCCAAACTGGGCTGAGAGGGATATAAAATTCCAGAGGAAACACCACGAGATACTCGATGAAAATTTCTCCTCACTCAGAAATCGAACTCGGATCTCCTCAGTGCGGCAGCAACTTGCCTCACCGCTACACCACAGACGCGGGTCTGATTTCTCATCTTTGGTCTATGTACAACAGGACTGACCCCAGCGGGTGGGGACCCCAGGAAACAGGACAAACAACCACATTTTTAGGAGCACTGTCATGGATCCAGACTCATGTCATGAGCATTGAAGCCCAATATGATACCAATTGAGCCAACAGCATACCCATAGCAGAAACAATAAACATGACGGAAATCCCTAGTTCACCAAAGATATGATAGCACAAATACACAAAAAATAAGGAAGAATAGACCAAATCTTTAAGGCGTAGTTACTTTATATTGTTTCATCATTCACAAGTAAAAGTGATGCCTTTTCCAGTCAAGACAGAAAAAAACATATTAAAAAATACACGGGAACAACATTTGACAAGAAAAAAAACACAACCAAAACAAAAACTGTGGGCTAACTGTGAAGAGGAACCTGCGCCCTTGTAAGTTTGCTCATAAAACACTTTTTGGATACCGTATAAAAATAATATCTCCAATACAATTAGTGATCAGAACCCTTGTGTCCATCCACTGACTGTGACATCACAACCTTTGCTGACGTGTATGGTGGCTGCTGTGATACATGATAGAAGCGTCGAGAACACACACAAAAGTGACCAGTGGGGATACGCGTCGGTGTAAAAAAATGGTACAAGCTCCTGTAGCAAAACACACCAGGATCCAATAAAAGAATAATAATAATATAATGTATATAATGTATTTCAAGTGGTTCTTGGAAGGGGCACCTGGCTCCTTTTCTGTAAGCTTCAAAGAATAAATTTCTTCCACATTGTGTTGGCAAGCAATTCAAAAGTTTGCAGCGCACAGAGCAATATTTTTCACGCATCAAAAAACCCCCAAAAAACTGTATCTTTGTTTTTAAAGTGTTATATTATACTAGATCTAGATTCTACATTTATAAAAATTTCTTTGCTTTTTTAAAAAACCCTAACCGTACGTCGTGTTTACTATCGTATCCATATATGACGTGGGGAACTCTGTGCCATCACTTTCCAAAGAAGAAGTTTACTTGTTAATCCGATCCGCACGCTTTGCATAGCAGTCTCTCAAAATGAGATCTTCGAACTAGAGGGGGTACAAAATGACTCCACGGCGTACGGATAGGGTTAAAAGTGTAGAATTCGATTTTTACAAAATATTTCTCCAGCAAGTGCAAACAATAAAATAGATTCATTCAGAACATTTGAATGGCTTGCTGATGAATGCTGTCTTCAGAGATCAGTAAAAAGGTTACAGCCTTCCAGGTCACCCTTTTCAGTAATTGCTACAAATGATCACTGTGAGCAACTACATCGAAGAATCTATGCCATAAAGCCCCCCCCCCCCCCCCCCCCCAATCAAACCACCACATATTATCTCTCCCACACCAAATGACAACAGTCAGTTGCACAACCTGCCACTTACATTGTCTACAACATTTGTGAAGCGTGCTGACAAACTGAGTTACTTCTCGGATTCGAGCCTATGGAAACTGATACATCATGCTTAAAGGTAACGTTTTTACAATTTATAAGTATAAAATAATAAAAGGCATATTATTTACTTAAAGAATATGAATCAATAGAAAATCAACAAATTTGACCCTGGTGTCGAATTTTGGACAATATTTCTCTTTGTTTATTGCGAGAACAAACTCATTGTGTCAGCACACCTCACATTTATCAACATTGTGTCAAGCACAGCTCTCAAACACTAATCAGATAACAAATACCCCAAACCAAGCAATGATAGAAGACAAAATTTTATGCACCAGTAGAAATCTTTTTCTTCTTCTTTTTCTTTCTCGGTGACAAAAAGATAGTTTAGATAAACAATTCTGTTGTGCCCTAAACCAAAGATTCTCAGCTTAAACTGTGCCGCTATTTTTAGATCCCTACAGAAAAATGTCTGAAGGATAACATTCATGTATCTAACAATAGAGTTCACACGATAGGCAGGCTGTCAGTTCTAGTGACAGAATAGAAAGCAGTAAAAGAAAAATGCAGTTATCTTGAACAATTGCTGGCATTGTCTGCATTCGCTATTCACAAACTTGCCCAAAACCTTGCAAATTATTGCTATTGTAGATATCTACTCTAAAAATATTATCAAAAATCTGTCAATGGACATTGATTAGGTTAATTGCCCCTTTCAACACTGTGAGGTTATTTAAGAGGCAGTATCTCCAAATTCAATGGCCACCTCCAATAGGACCTAGTTAAAAGGGTGGAGGGCCTTAAATCTCCTCAAAACAACCCGCATTCACAGAGCCCAGTTGGGGATTCGAACTGGGGCCATCTGCTTGTGTAGTCCAGCATGACACCAACTGAGCTAACAGCGCATCTACTTAATCAGTAACACATGCCCTTACTCCCAACCAAACTGAAGCTTTCAAATCAAAGGAATCTAAAAACTCATTTATATATATGACAGATGACTTACATAATATATTCAAGTTAAAAATAAAAATAACTTGGAAAATGGACAAAATATGTAATAAAATCAATTTACTCTAAACTACTTATCAATACTATTTTAAACTCTGAATATACATAAATAATAACTATTGAATACCTATTTGGTTGAAAGTCTATAACTTTACAATGCTCCGTATAAAAAAGATATGCAGTAAGATAGGGTTAAATGATTTTCACAAACCTTTATACATCACCAACTCAAAATCTCAACACAAAAATCCGTACCATCAGATAATGAAAGGAAAAGCACCATCTTCATATAGGCAATCCCCCCCCCCCCCAAACCACTAAAAACTTAGTACACACCAGCCAAAAAAAAACCGCACATATAGATCTACTATTCTGACCATTCTGTTGACCTTCCCATGACCCTGAAGAAAAATTGAAATTTGAAATTTGACACGAACAACAGATATGCAAGCTTCTTTTGAAGTTGAAATTGTTTTAGAATGCTATCAGGTCTGCTGGGGAAACAATATTATGGACTATAAAGTACAAGAGCTTGCTACAGGGTGGACATTTGTGCAATACAAATGCTATTTATTCTAATTCATTTTACAATAACAGTAAATTAAAATTGACTATTGTTGAACCATCATAAGCATCTTTTGGTAGTTCAGCATTTTCTATTCAGAAACAGAAAGGTCTCTAGTTATGACTCATCACCACTTTAAAAATTTTGATTTAGGGCAGGTACCGGTACTATTATCAGTAGAGCACATCAAACACTTTGTGGGTGGTTGGTGGGTGCTCTGGTGTGGTTTGCTCTTTCTTTCCTATCCAACATTTGTAGCCCTCATCTCTCCTCCTCTTATTCTCCCCACATTACTCTCTAGATCTTTGTCATCTTCACTCCTCGGCACTTACATCTATTTGTGCTGCAAGTGCAGTAATACTTACTAAAACTAATACAAAAAACTAGAAACATTTTATTTTATATAGTACATTACTTGTGATCCACTAGAAATTAGAATGACATCCAAAGCCTTTGCTTTCTGATAAAAATTTTGCGAAGAGCTTTATAAGCTCAGGTTTCTCACAAAATGAAAGTGGGTGGAAGATATCATTTCAACTTCACTTGAACTTTGGTAGTAAGGCCTTACTTTTTACAGAAACCTTTGCCCACAATGAATTGTCTCACCCTGTATAACTTGGCATTTTTATCAAATTCTGCAAAACGTATTCAATAGGAATGTAAGAATATAATTCCCTTTCTTATAACCAAGAACTAGTGCCAGCAATGTAAATAAAAAAAATACTTATGAGGGTAAACCGTTAAGGATCCCTACATCCAAGAAAGTAAACAGTAGGCTGTCACAAACTTTTTTAAATGATCTACAGAACTCTTTAAGCTTGTTTCTGCCTACACACACCATAGGACTCAGTTTACTATATATCCACAGCAGGAATTTAAAACAATCAACTGTACATCAAATAAATTACTAAACTAACAAAACATTTGATGACCCCATCACAAAAACCTCAAATTGCGACTGGCTTCCTACTTCCTTCACCGTTACTGCTACTGTTGATGAATATATTATGCATATTATGACATGAAGAAGCTAGTTCGCTCGGGTCCAAAATCTTAAGTTGTGCTGAGATTGTCATGCTGTGACTATGTAGAAATCTGTTATTTCTGAAACTTCAACATGGTTAGCACGCTTTGACACAGTGCTTTCCATTTCAAATCTGCTTACAGTAAATGAAAAAGAATTATGAAGACAAACATTACATATACATGAACAAAACTATGAAAACTGTGATTGCTTAACTTGAGTGTGCATTTATTGGCATTAAACTTGAGAGCACAATATCACAGCCACAGTATAGTGCAGTATTTGTGTTTGCCACATCGGCACCAAAAAAAAAAAAATAGACAGGGGTAGACTTCATTTTGATCACAGAAAAGAGGCAAGAATTTCAATAGTCCATCTTTACAGAACGCAATAAGGACAGTCCTGAACCTGTCATTTCAATTTTCTCATTTTCAACTTTATAAATTTCTTTAGTGCTAGCAAATTTTACTGTCAGTTCACTATTTATCATACATTTCTGGTGAAGTGGTATTAAAATCATAGCAGACAGTTTCTTCTTAGAAACATGAACACATGTGAACCACCTAAAGACGACAGTATCTCTGAATGTAAAGAGCCAAAATTCCCTTCTCCACTGGTACCCAAAAAAAAAATGTTTAACAAACAAAAAAGTACAAAATTGTGGATGCAATAACATTAGACTGACAGTTGTCTGTCAATATCTATCAATAATGGCTCCGCATTTGCAACACATACAACATCATTATCAAAGTAAAATTTTGTTCTTGTTGTGCGGTGCTGCCAGTCAGTTTGGCAAGGCATGAGACTCGAACATTCATATAGAAATAGAAGAATGGCATAACATCTGCATGGCAGTCAGGGTGGTAGAAAAGGTGAAAGGAAACTGGAGCAATACTAACAGCTGTTGACTGAACGGGGAGGGAGGGGGGTGGGGGGGTGTCCCATCTCTGCTATTGTCCACCGTGCATCGGGGAAGGGGGGAAAGGGGGGGGGGGGGGCTGCATCATTTGGCTAAAGCTTTTTCTGAAGCCCCCTGTTCAACTGTTACTGTACAAAGCCCAGGTCGGAATGATCAGGGCACAAGTTTTTATGACTAACTCAACAGTTCAATAGCTCAACTGTCGTCATTGGGAAGAAGAAGAGCTCAGTAATGTTCTGTCTCTTAAAAATCCACGAGAAAGGTTGTAGTAAATCCTGAACACAAGAAACTATTAAAATCTATACTTCTTATTGGTGTTGAGGATTTTCTACAACCTTTTCTTGTAGCTTTTTTTTCATATTACTAGGTATATTGACCCTTTAAAAGTTTATTCATAGTACTTATTTAACAACAAGAATTTTTTCTACTTTCAATTTCAAACAGAAAAAAACGGAGGAACCTATGACATATATATTGTAGTATGTATCTGTTTCAGTACAGGACTAAAGAGTACCTGAGAACTCACAACATATCTATTACAGCATCATGCTTTTGCTTTAGTAAAGACAATCGAGCAGTAACAGTCTCCATCGTCACTGGATCGTACTTTGGGGAAATGTAATTCTTTAAAAATTAGAATTATAGACAGATGATGTAGATAGATAAATAAAGTAGCTGAACTAATGATGCCACCAAATGTTTCAAAACGAAATAAAAATCAACTTGACATCGTGACAATATGGCAACACGTGACCACAGTCAGCACTAAGTAACAAGATATGGACAGCAAATAAAGCTGTGAAAACATAGCCAAAAGGATAACATAAAGGAAAACATTGTCAAAGACATATCATAAATGATGATGCTCTAAGTTGATCGCAAAGCTCACAGATCTATCTAAACAAAATTCAAAATGACTCTCATTTCATTTTCAAGTGTGAATCAAGCAACTTTTTCAGTACATTGATGTCTTCATTCACGGACGACCAGCAATTTTAACGGAATGAAGCCCTGGTGACCAGCCAAATGAAGGGTATTTTACAAGACACACTGTCCATACCTAATCAAATATTGAAACTAAAAAATGGCATTCTTACCACATACAAGTAACCATTTGTTTTAGAAGAAACAGAAACAAGATGCCATAATAAGTTTTGAATTTTGAATTTTTGTAATTTGACCAAATGTTTTCTACATTATTTTTTCTATTGTGTCTCAACAGGCAGCAGGTATGGTTGTTCGTTCGTTAACCAACCCACAGGTTTTGAGTTTGATCCCCACCAACGTCAGATTTTTTTTTCAAGTTTTCTTCACCCTTGATCTTATGGAAGGTAGGACTGAGCACTTTGAAACAGTAAAAATAAAATACCACTTTGAAAAAAAAAAGCAAACCGTTGTACTTCATCTCTTTCTCATTTTCATTATAATGACAAATCTTTTGTCTCTTTCTACTTTCAAACTGAATATTATCATTAACAGAAGGATACAATTATGAGTGCAGCAAGATTTGATATAATCTGAGATTCTTTGAAAGCTAAATATAAATCAATGAAGTGGTCAAACACATTCAGTCATAAAGCTAACGCAATTTATTTGTGTGTCACAAAGAAGTTTTCCACAACAACAATGGTTTTATATCGAAAGCCTGGGAAAACTTTGGAAAGACTTTTATTGCTTTTCACTTCACCACTTTACAGCAACCTGTCTTTTGTATCACACTCTTGACACCGCAGCCCTGTGTAAAAGAGGCAGGAACACAGACTTGTATACTAACACCCTAGACCAGGCACTGTCTTGGTGGCTTCTCTTTGCTCTCTACAAAAACTTCTCAGCGCTGGTGCACACCATAGGCTTGTGAATGAAAGAACAAATATTATATTGGTCTTTCAGAAGTTGTGTGGGCGCAGTTATTCTCTCTTTGCCCTTCATTTGGCACCAAACAGAGTCAGATGAGTCTCTGAGTGGTGAGCCCCAATTACGTCATAGTGCAGTCTTGGACATTACAATGCAAGTCTATGGATAGGAATAAGTAAAAACCAACTCATCTGAAGTTCAACTTCACCGTTCGGTGGGAACTGTACAGAAGAAGAGGTGATGGGACCCGAAAAAAAGATCAACTTAAGTGAAGATCAACTCACGTGAGTCCAATAAAAGAGAAATCAAACTGTATATTATATATTCACGTTCAGAGTTTACAGGAATGTGTTATATATTGCAATCTGATAATATAATATACTATATGGAATGTTATTATTTCAAGCAAAAAATGCTTTGGATATGTATACGACTGGAAAATCCTTGCCTTCATTTCAACACTGTTCCTGCCTTTGAACAAACCAGGTATAAGCTAAACAGGATCATGACATACTTGTAACTATTCTGACAATGCATACTATAATGAAATAAGAGAACCACTGAAAATTTGTTATTTGAAACATTCAGAGTCTAAAAAACACTTCTACTCAAATATCAACTTATTGGGTCCTAGGGCAGGTAATGAAGATATAGAATCCCATTCTCAAATACAGAGTCTAAAAATAAACTAATAATACTCTCCTTTAAACACGTTTACAGTGACTAGCACATGTTTGGATTAACATTGAAGATCAAAATAGCACCATGGTAGAGAATGTACTTCCCATAATGGTTATTTAGAGTGACAGAGAAAGATAGTGCAAACAGGAGAACCATATATCCTAAAAAGATTTGTTAAAAACCAACAAATACAGGAACATTTTTATTTCTCTTTACACAATTTGTTTGGCTACAGGATAAATATGAGGTAAGTATTTAGGCTTGTATGTTTTTGTAACAAAGCATAAGGGGCTTACATAAGGAGCAATATAAATGTGAGAAGGGAATCCTTAATTTGAGCAATGTTTTCATTTCTTTCCTTGTAAGTGATGTAAAGCAAAAGCAAAGTGATGAGGCAGAGTTCAGGGTATGTGGTTTACACAAAACAATTCACATGGCCTGATGCTACAATTTAAAACAGTTTACCATGACCCGTGCAGTTGTATTACCAATAGATATATATCATATATATAATGTAAGACATGCAAGGTATGAATAAAAATGATATATCTGTAATCTTTGGCTGGGAATTAAGAACAAAAGAGATTGACTTCTGCTGAGAGAAGTTTTGACTTCTTCTGGGACAACATTATCACCTACCACTTTTAAGAAAGCAAGGTTTATAAATATAACAATTTGTGACCTTAAAGAGCAAAGCAAATTTTAAAAGACCTCTTTATTTTGTGATTAAAAATTTTTTAATGAAAAAGATTTCGAGAAGATATTATAGTTTTTGGACGCTTTTTAAACTATATAATACGTTGTACTCAGAAAACACAACAGGCTAATGCGAGAAACTTCACGTCCCTTCACAGACATTGGCAAAAAGAAACCACAGATTTCTCACTTGATGTGGCATATATATATATTTTTTTTTTTACACGTCTTATTCTGAGAAAGCAGGGGAGCAATTAAAACAAACTTGTTCTTCCCCACTAAAACAGTTTATTAAGACTACTGCTTTTTCATATATGAAACCATTCGGGTCTCAGTCTACTTTACAAATTTGTCTGCTCTGTTTCTGTCGTCCCATTTCTAAAGCAGCACACAGAAGGATGTTAGAGATGAGTGTGCTTTCTCTCATCTTCTAGATCTGCACACTTTCCACAGTTGTTGGATTTGAGTGATAAGGTAAGGTGCCTCTCTGCCACTGCCCCATTTCACGCACTTGCAAAGTCATAATCAATACTGCTCACAATTAAGCCGACTCATGTCTGTCAATTACCTCTTTTAGTAAGCTGAACTATGTCAGAGAAGTCAGATGAGCGAAGTTTATAAAAGCCTTGTCAATCAAAATGAGGCTAATAGACCAATCTCTTCACCATATTAAATAAGGGCCATACAGACATATGGGCTGTGAGGACTTATCGTTAAGCTCATCTCACAACCTCAGAGCTCTCAAAGCCATGTCAATATTTGAAGCTAATGACTGATGGGAGAAGAGAAAAAATGGACAGATAATCCTAAAAATGGACCGATAATCCTACATAATAGGGTGTGAGCTTCTCACAAATGGAAACGTTATCCTAAAGACAGGAAAAGCATCCACCTGACGCTTTGCTGTAATAAATGCAAATTGTAAGGCTATTCTTCTCATGTGCCATAGAAGGCAGAAAAAACTGCTGTATAAAGCTGCACCGACAAGTGACAGCTTTTTCTTTTGTGACCAAAGTAAAAATCAATGGCAAAAATGACATATAAATTATAAATGAACAAACACATTTTATTATACAATCTTTGTGACGTGCTGGGTCAGGGACTCAAGGGGACAGGGGTGATGGGGCAGGGGATCAAAGACACATTTGTTACATCAGTTATTTGTTTTACACCTTTCCCTTCTTCTTGAGAACGGCTCTGTAATCGGTCTGCGGGGTGGCGTCCGAGATTCTCTGCCGGGAGTCGGAGCTGTAGTCGAACTTGGTCTTGCGCAGCCGGGCCCGGATCTCTTCTAGGGCGCTGTTGCTGTCCGCGGAGGCTGAGATTGGAAGTCTGACAGGGGCGTTCGGGTTACTGTTGCTGCTGCCAGGCCCCATGCTGTTGGGAAAAGGGAATTTGGGAGGGGGGAGCGAGAAGAGGAGGGGAAGAGGGGAGGAGGGGGTAGAGGAGGGGGAGGAGGGGCAGGAGGGAAGGAGAGGAGGGGGAGATGGGGGGGGGATAGGAAGAGGAGAAAAAGAGATGAAATTTGTATTAGTCTTTTTCACATGCTTTGATTTGAAAAAAGAGTTGTAATAGCTTACAATTACAGGCCTTGATATATCAACCGTGAAGATGATGATGATGACCAAACATATTTTCAAAACTTCAATGATAAAATACTAACTACTACCACTGCCACTACTACAACTGCTGTCAATCCAAACATAACAGCCACATTTCCAAGATAATTAGCTGCACAAATGGCCTCTTTCCACTTCTCCCCTTGCACTTTTCAAATATCAAAACGACACTGTCCAAGACACCCACCTGTCTAAGACAGCCACTTTTCTCCTACATAATGGTGCTTCCACACTATGTCATCTAACTTCACTCAAAACAAGTACAGTATAATAAAGGAAAACTATAACAGAATTTTCGTATAACCAGACAAAATCCTAACCCCTCCCCTCACCCTCTGAAAAAGCAAACAAACATACCCGAAAACAACACAGAACACAACTGATGTATGAGACCCTCCCCTCACCCTCTGAAAAAGCAAACAAACATACCCAAAACAACACAGAACACAACTGATGTGTGAGCCAGTCGTCCTCGCTTCACACTCACTCACACCCATGATGTCGTATAATAGTATGTGATTACTTTCATGAAACACAAAAACTGGGACACAGCCTCTGGGAGCATGCACGCAAGTCGATTGACTGTAAAATTTTCACCAAACCCTTTGGCACAGGAAAAATAATAAATACATCTGTAAAAACGCAAGGGAAAAAACCCAACCCAAATAACTTGAACGATAAAGCATTCTGCGCATTCTGTTCAACTATGTCAATATAATATATAGAAAAATAATATTATTATATTTTCTTATTTTTCATTTTTAAAGAAGAAACATCAGTTCAGATGTTGTTTTGCTTCGTATTTACATAATCATTCATTTCTGGCTTCAAACAAACCACAGTCACATTTTCAGTAGACCCTAGAGCGCTCAATCAGGTCACGATTGAAAACTGCGAAGTCCACGACAGTATGAAACACCACATGAAAGGCAAAAGACTAGAACATTTAGGAAAAAAACCCCAACATAATATCTGAACCCGCCAAATTTATATGAAAATAATTTCACAAACGAATAGACGGCCGCGTAAGAACAGTGCACGGCCAAAGCCACCCGCTCCCTTGTTACATAAGTACACAGACACAATAATCTAAATACATAACATTACACTGACTTCCCCTCATCACCCCCCCCCCCAATTCCCCTTCCTCCAAACATCCTCCGCCCTCTTCCCTCTTCTCCAATCCACTATTATTTTCCACCCGAAAACATACAAGAAAAACAGACAAGTGCAAAGCAAAAGCGCATGACAATAAAAGCAACAAAAAAAATTAGCTGCACCGAATAAAATAATAAGAATGACGACTGGAGACAGCAACAATCTTCTAATGAAGCAACAACCGAGGGCACAACATAGATTATAGCAAAACAATAAAACAAACAAAAACAACCCAAAAACAGCAAACTCACAAAATGATCAAAAAACACAAATATAAAATAAGATAAAAAACAAAAGTTTACAAAAATACGAAAATGAAGCAATTAAATAATACAATCTGAACAATAGGTACGAATAAATGGTATGAGAGTAAAGAACAAGAATTAAATAATTGCATAAATAAATGAAGAATTTATGGGTAAATAAATAAGAATACCAGTATAAGAAGGAATAAAAAAGAAAAATAGGAAGGAAAAAAAATCATCATCATCCAGTGCCAGATCTTTGACAGACATCGGCGATCATGGTTCTCCATTCATTTCTTAGGAACTCGGATGCTCTTAAAAAAGCTACGCTTTCCTGATCTTTCCCCGTTACCCATTTGTTCAGGTTCCTTAAGTAGGTTGCTCTGGGCCTACCCCTGCCTCGTTTGCCTTCAATTTTGCCAGTGAGAGCTTGATGTTTAAGACCTTTAGCTCTCACAATAAATAAATAATAATAATAATTTTAAAAAATAAATAAATAAGAGTTGCCTGGCTACTTCAGCTTTCTAAACGTTCTAAAGGCAAGTTACAGCTTTTCAAGCTTTCTAAACATTCTAAAGGTGAACCAAAAAAGTAAATTTAAAAACACAAAAAAACCCAACACAAACACAATGAGAAAATAAACAAAACGTGCAGGACGAAACGTTAAAAATGAAGCAATAGAATCTGAACGTTAGGCGTCTACGCATATGAAAAAGAGATTCAGATAGAAATAAATTTTAAAAAATAGGAATATAAACAGGTAAGTGTATAAAATAAATAATACTTATATAAAAGTAAAACTGTTCAAGCCAGTTTTCGGAGGGCAGAGTGAGAGGTGTCGATCACACGAGAAATAAAAAGGTGCCAGTCCACTTGACCATGTACCTGACTGACCAGGCCTAACTGTGCTGTGCTGATTTTGTTAGGGTTAGGTTTAGGGTTGTGGTTTGGGTTCGGGGTTAAGGAAAGGTTCAGGTTTGGGGTTAAGGTTAGGGTTAAGGTTGGGTTAGGGTCACAGTTTTTAATTGCAGTAGACTAGTAGACCGTCAAGTGGAACAATTGTCAGACTAGTCCGGTGGCAGACCTTCAAGTAAAATAGGAACATCGCAGTTGATCGTCAAGTAGACTGGCACCGATTTCATTTTGTCCAAAACCGGATTTGCTAGTCTTACGAACAAAAGTGTCCACCCCGAATATAGACTTGTATTAAAACATCCAAGACCGGACACTGTCATGGCTGCCGTTCACTGTCCTCTATAAAAACTTGGCAGAGAAGCGTGCGCACCATGGGCGTCCAATTGAAGGGCAAGACACCAGTCTCAATAACAATATAGTCGGGTACGTTCGGCACAACGGCACGTACTTCCCGTTGGTGTCTATTAATCGGCTCCAAGTCGAGTCGAGAGCGCGCTCCTTGGTGAGCTGGACTTACGGCAGAGTGCTGGGTCGGAGATATTATAATAAAATGTAGATTCGAGATAGTATGCATAATGTGTCTATGGACTATAGCGTCAGACTTCACGCCACATGCCTCGCTCGGGGAGGAAGTCAACGTGTGTACTCTTCTAAAGCCCCCGTGACGTGTAGATCTACCTGTTTCCATTGCGGTCCCTCCTGAGCATTCTGTCGGCGTTGTCTGTGGTTGTGTAGGCGTAGGAGGTCCTGGTGGCGGGGAACACGGTGGGGCGGGAGGACTCCGGGGTGGGGGAGGGGGGCCCGGCGCTGCCCGTCTCGGACTCGGAGGCGTACTCAATCTCGATATCTCCCTCGAAGGAGGAGGACTGTGTGAGGCGCTGCTGCCACAGGGCCAGGATGCTGCCCGTCAGCTCCTCCTCCAGCCGCTTGGCCAGCTCGGCTGCGTTGTCTTCCTCTGTGTGTGGTTAGTTTTTAGTTTTGGCGTGAGCTTTGTTTTTACGACAGTACTTTTTTGCTACACAAACAGGTAAAACAGGTGCTAAAAAGTAGAAGTGTGTTTCTGTAAGACAGTATGTGCAAAGAAAAGAAGGGGGAGAGAGATAAGGGCGATAGATGAGTTTTTACGACGCACTTTAGCAAACTCGCAGGTCAAACAGGTGCCAAAGATTAGATGTATTTCTGTTAGAGAGTACTTTATCAAAACAAAAACGACAGGGATAAGTGCAGTAGATGTTTAATAGGAAAGACATTAGGAGCAAACCACACCAAGGCATCCACCAACCACCGACTTTCCTCTGTGTGGACGGGGGGGTGGAAAACTTTTTAAAAAAAGGTGGGAGAGGACAGAATTGGGATAAGAATAATATTGAGGATGGTTGGAGGGTTCGGAAAGGCTAGTGGACGAGTAGGCTGGGTGGTGGGCAGAGTCGGGGGAAAAGGGGGGAGGGGAGTTGCGCTGGTGGCTGGGGAAAGTTGGCAGGTAGGTTGGTTGGTTGGTTGGTTGGAGGGCACAGTTCGGGCGAGACGTTTGCAAAAGTGATGGGACAAGACAAAGGAGGAGAAGAGCAACTGGTCATGTTCCATTGGTGCGTGTGTTTGCGAACATGTATCTCTGTACTTATTGCAATATATGTATACAGAAAGTGGCGTAGTATGTATGAAGTATGTATGAAGTATGTATCATTTTCCCATTATATTGTCTCGTGACATTCGCCTTGTTTGTTTATTTGATGAGCTGAATCTACATCAGGTCTGTACCATTCGAGTCATAGAATATGCGGATATTTAGGCTTATGGATTTTAGAACCAATAACATCATGGAAATCTCTAAATATGATCCCTTTCTCCCTCCTTCAACCCCCCTCTCTCTCGCTCGCTCGCTCTCTCTCTCTCACTCTATCCAGCTCTCTCCCCAAAGCTCATTCTCTTTCGATTGAACCTGCATCCCTTTTTCATTTCAGGGGAAACTTCAATTTGCATCAAATAAATTTATCTGATTTCATGTCATAGCATAATATACCATTTATGCCCAGAATCACGGAAGGCGTGTCATAATAACCAATATAAATAAATATAACTTTCAGAATTTCTATTCATGTCTGACACATACACGACATATTATTAAATTGTTGCAGTGTACATTGACTCAAGGTAGTGAGCGTGTTTGTGGGCACGTGAGCGTGTGTGAGAGTGTGTGTGAGTGTGTGTATGTAGGCCTGTGTGTGTGTATGTGTGTGTGTGTTGTGTGTTGTATGTGTGAGTGTGTGCGAGTGTGTATGTGTATGTAGGCCTATGTGTGTGTGTGTGTGTGTGTGTGTGTGTGTTGTGTGTGTGTGTGCATGCACGTGTGTGTGTGTGTTGCGCGCATGTATGTGTGTGTGTTTGTGTTTGTGAGTGTATGGTGTGTGTATGTATGTGTATGTGTGTGCGCATGTGTGTGTGTGTGTGTGTGTGTGTGTGTGTGATTGCAAGTACGTGTGTGCACGCGCACGCACATACGTGCAGGTGTCTCTGTCTGTTCACTCGTGAACACAGCGTTTTCCATTTGGAGGCGCGTGCAGAACAACTACTCACCAGCCAAGTCATCTCTCTCAGTTTGCAGGTCTGCCTCGATGCTGTACTCGCTGTGGCGACTTATGCGTCCACTGATGTTCTCGCTGAAACAACAAGCAACACACAACGCTCGTGGGGGGACTTCTACTTCCACAAGAGGAAAAAAACACAGGATAAACTGGATTCTAGAATACCCAGGACTACCCAGCACCCTAGACAGACATTCTGCGACCTTGTAGTAGTAGTAGTAGTAGTAGTAGCAGCAGCAGCAGCAGCAGCAGCAGCAGCAGTAGTAGTAGTAGTAGTAGTAGCAAAAGCAGCAACAGCAGTTAAGCATTGGAATTAATAGCAGCATCAGTTGCAACAGCAATAGTGGTACATAGTCTGCAACTAGCAGCAGTTGTAGAGAGGCAAACATGGTTCTCTGACAGCGAGAATATTTTCCTTTTCGCGTTTAGACTATAGTTATGTTTCTGGCCATGTGTTTGACCTACTTCTGTAGCGCAAGAAGAATGCTGGCACGGAACTTTTTCTTTTGATCACGTTCAGATGTGAAAAGTAACAAACTCGTCGGAACGCCTACCATTCAATTCTTTAAAAAAACAACAGCCCCCCCCCCCCCTCATCACCACCAAAACATAGAAACAAAACAAAAAAACACACAAAAAACCACCAAACAAACAACGCTTTGTGTTCATTATCGGGGCCTGCAAACCAAATCTAAAGCTAGCAAGCGAATCTTTAGTAACCCCAGAGACCGACAGTTCTATTTACCTAACAGAGACAACATTGTTCATTTTATCTCTCTCAACAGAGGAGAAGAGCACGCTTCGGTGAAGAGGGATGAGACTTTTTAAAAAAGGCGGAAAGTGTGGGCATCCAAAGTATGTCTCAAACACATGGGTGCAGACAGCAATAGTAGGAACAACAGCGATAAGAAAAAGTACCGAGGACAATAATGTCTTGTGATGATATTAAACCACAGCAATAATAATATGAAACAACAACAAGAACAACAACAATAATAATAACATAATAATAACAATAACAATAATAACAATAGTAACAAGGTATATAACAGTCATTATACGAGGAAGAAGAATAAAAATAATGACCATAGAACTATACCAAGGGCAACAACTGGTTACGCTGTGTCCAGACAACGGAAGTGTGTGCGACTTGTCAACTGACAGAAAGGAGTGGGGCGTGCGGGCGTGAGAGTGATGACGTCAATACACAGGGAGCACTCACTGTCCGTTTGCTTCACTATTGCTGCTGTCCATTCAGTAAATCTCCAAGCAGTAATTAATCACGTCTATAATCTCTCTTCTACCCTCCCCTCTCCCAACAACACAACCCCCCCCCCCCCCAACAAAATAAACTTTACTTTAAAGTATTTAATATTTTATCATTTTGTTTTCGAAGGATCGGAAAAATAAAGCTAATTTAAGAGCAACCTGCTCGTCATCGCGATTTATGACCACGTTGAAGGTCACCCATTCAGTAATAATCGACATCAAATTGGGCATATTATTATTATAAGTCTCTCATTCGGCAAAAAACCCCTGACCCGTTAAGCTCATTATAGTCCCACGACATTAGACCACACTTTAATATCCCAAATCCGTTTTAAAATCATAAAAAATAAAAATTAGACCACACTTTAATATCCCATATCCATCATTAACCCCTCCCCCCTCCCCCACACACACAGTTCTGCACACATACACACACACATAATACACACACAAATACACACATACACATACACACACACACACACACACAATATTGTCTTTATCATTGATAGAAGCAAAACGTTCACAAGGGATAAGACAAATTCGGGATCAACACTCTCATTATTAAATATGACGCATGAACTGTTGGCGGACAAAAACATAGTAAGACTATTACAATGGTAATTGAATTACCGGTGTTAATAAGCGAGGAATCATGTAATAATGAAAATATAATAAAGCGTTCCTATTCAGCAGACATCAAGAGTCTTAAACTAGCTTTCCTATAACGAGCAAAAACGTTGATCTTTCCATAAAATATGATTTAGATTAATGAGAAAGAAGGGTCATCACTGAGCTGACTAATAGGACACACTTGTTTGGAGCGCTGATCAGATTAAAATCACCATCATCTAGACTTAATTCGGACGCTTCGTACATTTTGGCCGTTCCGTTCTCATATTATATTAAGTTGGTATTGATAAGCTGTAACAGGAAAGAAGGAGCGAACCATATCGGAGCAGTTGTCCCACCAACCATCCACTCTCATCAACTTTGAGGGAACTATGACTAGAATGGAGATCTCTGTTTAACATATTCATTCACACAACCGGAAAGGCGTACTAGCCTAAGTAATACTTGTCAAGCGCATAGATTATTATCGTTATTATTATTACACACAACGTATCCCACTTTTCTTCTCCAAAAGACTTATTTACATCCTCAACGCATCACATCGTACGTATACCCTGTAGACAAACTTCACAGCTCCCAGCCAGGGTAATCTACAAAGCACTAATTGGTGTTTTGGACGGCAATATTTGTTTCCCAAACGGACAGAGTGAATGCTCCATGGCGTGACGTATGAGGGGGCCACATAATGCTCGAGAAGTCTAACACAGAGAAAGGTGGTTGATTGTTTGGAGTGTCCTGAGCTTTAAGTTGATACACCTCAAAGAAAACCACTAC